AAGCGCCTCTTTCCTTTGCTTGTGGGACCAGCTCGTCTTTGGACTCACGAGGGAGCTTCTCCAAGCCCCCCGGGATCCAAGGAGAAGTTCCTTTTCTCTGCCTGACTTGCCCCACTGCCCAGCTGGCCGGGGTTCACAGGGGTTCTGTTCCCATGGATTCGAGGGGGAGACACAGCAGAGAAATGGCTGTGACTTTTAAGAGAGAAAGCCTGAATTGAAAGCAAATCAACTTTACTTACATCTTTGGGAATCGTTACTTGTGTTGTTATGATGGGTCCGCCAAGATCACCATATGAACCACGCCCCCCTGCGTAAGAATAATCTGATTTAAGTGTATGCATCAAGCCCTTTAGTAACTACATAATGAACTATGTGCAAAGGTTCTACATGAACACTTACCATAACCAGAACCACCCTCAAACTGTAAGAGAAAGAGAAAAAAACATTAACATGAACAGCAAAGGTTCATTAATACATTTTTTCCTTACATGTTATATTGTTAACTTTGAGCACATTTAATCAAACATCACAACACTCAATCTGATATATATGCAACAGTGTTACACCATAAAGAGCATCCTGAGGCAGACGGAAGAGCAGAAACAAAAGGGGTGGGTGGGAGAGATCTCATTAACCTCTGGCCATTTGGACCAGAGGCCATCTTGTGCAGGACCACCAGTTGGAGGCGATGATTTTTGTCGGTCCCAGACAACTCCAGACATTCTGTGATTCTTATCCTGCCCTATCAAAACCCCTAAGAATAATACATAAAATGGCAAAGCATTCAGCCATGCCAGTTTACCAAGGCAGTCTCATTATCTCAGCTTCTTGTAGACAGCTGTTGATGCTGATCTACTTGTGACTTATGTACTAAGCATCAGAATTAAAAAACCAGAGCCTTATTAACATTAGCTCAAAAAAAGACTACAGTCTCCAGTTCCAGGGCAAGAAGTCTGCCCAGTAAATCATCCTACTAAATCTACATCTTTGATTCTATGTTACAACCCTTTACATCT